AACAAAATGAAGAATAAAAATCATGTGATCATCCTGAGAGATGCAGACAAAGCATTTGACAAAACTTAATATCCATTTATGATCAAAATTCCCAACAGAGTGGGTAGAGCGGGAACATAACTCAACATGATAAAGACCACAGATGACAAGCCCACAGATAACATCCCATCCAATAGTGAAAAGTTTCAGCTTTCTTCAGTTCCTCTAAGATCCTCTATGTTAGGAACTTCCCTGATCTTTTCTCACCACTTTTATTCAACATAGTATTGGAAAACCTAGGCAGAGCAATTATGCAGGAAAAATAAATAAAAAGCATCTAAATTGGAAAGAAAGAAAAACTGTCACTATTTGCAGACGGCAGATTATATAAGGAAAACTTTAAAGACTCCACGGAAAAACTGTTTGAACTAATGACTGAATTCAGTAAAGGTACAGGATACAATATCAATACACAAAAATCTGTTGTGTGTCTATACACTAAAAATGAATCATCAGAAAAAGAAATTAGGAAGATGATCCCACCTGAAGTTGCATCAAAAAGGATAAAATACCCAGGAAGAAAGTTCACCAAGAGGTGAAAGCTTATATACTGAACACTATAAGATGTTATGGAAAGAAACTGAAGACAACACATGTAAATGGAAAGACATTCCACACTCAAGATTTAGAAGAATTAATAGTGTTAAAATCTCCATACTTCCCCACACCATCTACATATTCAATGCAATTCCTATCAAAATTCTAATTCCATTTTTCACAGAAATAGAACAAAGGATCCAAAAATTTGTATGAAGTCACAAAAGACTCTGAATAGCCAGAGCAATCTGGGGAAAGAAGGACAATGATAATCACACTCGCTGATTTCAGAATAGTACAAAGCTAGGGTAATCAAAACAATCTAGTATTGTCATAAAAACAGACACACAGATCACCAGAACAGAAGAGAGAGACCAGAAGGAAACCCACACATCTGTGGTCCAGTACCTTATGACAAAGAAGCCAAGAATATACGGGGAAAGAACGGTGCTGGGAAAACTGGACAGCCACATGCAATAAACGGTGCTGTGAAAACTGGACAGCCACATGCAAAAGAATGAAACTGCACCACTACCTTACACGATACACAAAAATTAACTCAAAATGGATTCAAGACTTGAATATAAGACTTGAAACCTTTATAAAACTCTTAGCAGAAAACACAGGGAAAAGCTACTTGACATAGATCTTGGTAGTGATTTAGGTAACATGATACCAAAAGTAAAAACAATTAAGAAAAAAAAAGTGTGGGACTACATCAAACTAAAAAGCTTCCAAATAGCAAAGGAAACTATCAACAAAAAAAGGCAACCTACTGAATGGGAAAACATTTGCAAATCATATATCTGATAAGGGGTTATTATCCAAAATATAAAGAACTCATGCAACTCAAAAGCAAAACCAAACCAAACCAAACCAAACCAAACAAAACAAAAAAAAAACAAGCAGTCTAATTTAAAAATGGGCACATCCAGAGCAAGATGGCGGAGGAGTAGGAGACCTGGATTTC